TGCCTGATTCCGCACCAGAGGAATACAAGAAACTTGCTGAGCGGTGTTGTGATGCTGATCCTGATAAGCGTCCAGATATAGACACAATTTGGAATGATACTTGCGAGCTTATTGAAGAGGCGGAGAAGGACAATTCTGGTGACAACACGTGGAATGCTGTTTATTATAATGATGTAAACCTTTTCACGTTTCGAGAAGGAGAGTAAATATTCTAGTATACTCTTACTTACCGGAGATCTGCCTAAACCGAGAAATAGTTATGGATTCAGCTGCAGGTGTGAAGACAACAATTGGTTATAAATGAAGTCAATTTAAAATATTAACATTGTCCACTGTTTATGATTTAGTAAGTCAAACGCTCTTGAATAAACTTTTAATTCACGGGTTATTTACAGTTTATACGCGTTTATTCAAGGGTTTACTTCTCTTTCAATTAAATTAATTAAATACGATATGCTTCCATCTATTAATATGTCAGTATAGGTTGAATTAAAAAAGATGCCGATCGCGTATGTTTACTATTACTGCCTTTGCCGGGGTATATCATTTGACTATGTAAGAAAATATGATACATTGTTTATTGAAAATTAAATCTTGAGACCATTATTTTATGAAATTGGTAATGAGTTCGATGCTAATAAATACGTAGCAACATTCGAGCTCGGTTCGAAGCATTTCAGCAGCACCAGCCGGTGATGCATGCATACATGTACTAGTACCGTCATTTTTTTGTCTGAAAGCAACGTATAATACTTGCCATCCGAACATTTTGTTCGTGTCTAGGGAAAGTTTGAAAAGCCAATGTAATTTGACCAATTTTTCTCTCGGAATTATTCCAAGAAACACATTGTTATAACTACAGTATTAGCCATGTTTTGGTTGTAATGATCAAATTCCAATAGAGAATGCATCAACATTAAGGATTCAAGACTAACGGTCTATTAGAAAAGCAGTTTCGCGTTACACATGCTTTTTCTCGAACGTTAACGATTCATTAGAAATAGGCTAGCCCAGTATATATTTTTTTCAATGTACCGGCAATGGAAACTTGGAGATTTACCTTTCATTGTTGTAACTGATTATTACATTACGGATATTCAATATTCATGAGACTAATGCACTAATTCTTTTAAAAATGAGATGGGCTGGTGTTGAGAAAAAGAAGTATGCGCGAACCTGTTGGGTGACGTAGCGGATCTCATCTTTATTACCTAATCCCTGTGCGGCATACGCCTTTTCATTTGCTGCAACACGCACCGTATTAGTATCACGTAATAGCCATAACCATGACGTTTATTTTCGCTCTACCGCAAAATTCGTGATCAAATGTCGCAAGAGGCCATTGCAAAAGACTTCCAGAAACTCCAGAAAGGCATGTGCTTTCTGCCTGATTTCGCCAGTTCACTTCTTCTTATGGATTCCTTGAGCATTATTGTTCCCAGCCCTGATTTGACTTCCTTTGTCTGTAGACCTCAGCAAAGCCATAGAAGCTCGACAGCGTTTAGATTCGCAATTACAAGAGAATGAGATTGTCCAAAAAGTAATTACGGGAAGAAAAAAAAACCCTTGTCTGAAAGTTTCTGTTTTCCTAGCTCGCTTTTACAGTCGTCAAAACCATTGCCATATCTTTGGTAGGAATTCAAGTTACTTAAGGAGGATGCCAATATATACAAGCTAATTGGCCCTGTTCTCGTAAAGCAAGACAAATCTGAGGCTGTATCGAATGTAGACAAGCGGCTGGAGTATATCCGTTCTGAGATGTCAGTACATTACTGTTTATAGAGTTCATTTTATTCAAAACATTGTGCTCATTTTCAACCATTCTAATAGAAAACGTGTCGAGGGTCAAATAACCGATTTAACACAAAAATCAGAGAAAAAGAAAGAAGAGGTTGGAAATTTAATTTAATTCCCATTACTTTATTTAACCTGAGAGTAAAATTAACAATACAAGCCATCAGCGAACCTCATTAACATTAGTCTAGATCACAATGATACCCAGGTTTTATTATTACAATTCTAATCAACCCCATTTTTTCATCTTTTTTTACTCTTTTTTCCACTTTGTGTTGCAGCTGCGTGCCCTGTCTGTTTGATGTGATTAAACAGTTGATTACGCGTCGAGAATGCCTGGGAACATATTTTACATTTGTGCTATTGGGAATACAAATAAAGCATAATTAATGGTAAATTAAATGGCAAAAGCATAGGCCTATGCAATAATAAACATTTCCTTTCTTCGCTCGAACATATTCATACCTGATTACTTTCCCCAGCTTTCTTCTTTTTCTTCTTCTTCTTCTCACCAATTTCGCTCGTTTCTCCCGGATTCGAGTATTCGTCATCTTCGAATGCACTCCTTGTTGTTAGATGACTACCTTCATCTGTGATATTGACATTAGATGCCATAGCTTCTGCTAGTTCATCGTCCGACGTTTTTGCGACAGGAGCTGATTGATCCTCCTCATTGATATCTTCGTGGCCCCAATTGGGCTTACGTTGTTTTTTCTTCTGCTTTTTCGATTTCCTGGGACTCGTTGAAGAGACTGAGACGTTATCAATTTTGGGTGCATCTTCGCCCTGATCCTGCGGCGTATCGTCTCTATCAACATCATTACCAACTCCGTTCCCGGTCTCGTCGTCGCCCTTATCAGGGTCCTCTTCGTCATTAGGGTCACTCACATTTGCATCGTCTTTCATAATTCGCTGCAATACCCACAAGTTTTTCAGGTGCTTTTTGCTACGCTCATGACTGTTCCATGCCTTTTCATGTTTAAAACTCTTATTACACGCAATACACACGTATTCCTCTTCTATCTCATCATCGTCTGTTTCAATAACCTCTTCCTCTTCAGTGTCGACTCTAGCCCATTCCTGCTCGGTATATTGCTGTAAGCTAGCGATGTGTTCTGCACGATCACGGGCTGCACGCCTTTTGGCCTCATCATATTTAGCAGCATTCTGTTCTGAAATAAATTCGTTATATTTCTTGTAGCGAGGATCACGTTTGCGGACAAACTCTACTAATTGCTATGATAGCAATGGCAAAGGACGAATATTAATGTTAGTAAAGATGAATAAAAAAAAAAGTGTTGACAGATAATAATAAACAAGGGGAAGGGAAAAAGCATACCCGTACGGTTGCATTATACTCTGCACGCCCAGATTCTCTGGTCTGTTTGTTCTCCTTTTCCATAAGTTTCTTCCAATATCTATCGGGTGCCTACTTTCGAAATTAACGGTAAAACTACAATTTTCAGCAAACACATAGTTAACTATTACAATTGAGCATTCTAGCACTCCTTGTCTTTTCTAACTCTCATCTCATCCACCTATTTTCTCACCTCAGACAGTCTGTGTTTATCGAGCCAAATGAAGCTTTTATTTGTCGTGAAATTCAACCACGCATTATAGAATGACTTTATTGGACTCCCATTACCCGAATTATTTTTAAATGGCGTGTTGCTATCCCCAAATGATGGATACATTGGATAATCAGCTTGGTTGGCATTTCTATTATAATCGAACGCAGCTCGTTCTTCTGCAGCGAGTTGGTCGAATAGTGTCCCATAGACTGTATAAAAGCTCTAAAAAACGTGTAACCAGTAAACGTTCATAATTAAATGCAGGCCGCTAAACGAATTGCGGTGAAGACAGAATGAGCATCATATGTACCTTACGATCATCCCCAAATCCGTTGTAGCATGATGTAGTAAAATATCTCATCAGATCGTCAACCGTGGTGCCTGCTACTGCTGGAGCTCGTGGTTGATAGGACGGAGAACTCTCGTACAGTGCATCAGAGTTGTCTGGCGAAGACAGAAGACGTTAGAATAAGCTCAATTGCAACGTCGCTCTCCATAACTTGATCAAATATTATATCCAACCAGCCTACCTCGTAATATCTGTTCTTTGTGTCCATCATACCTGCCAATCAATGTCAAATTCCGACATTACTTTGCGATTCTAAAAATTTGTCCATATAATATAAAAGCTCTTTCTTGTTACATACCACGCCCGTTCATGCGGATCGGAAAGCACTTCATATGCCTCTTGTATTAAAGCAAATTTTTTTGTCGCTTCTTCTACATTGCCATGATTCTTATCTGGATGCCATTCTAAAGCCTTTTTCTTGTAAGCTTTTTTTAAATCATCGGGTGAAACGTCGTATGAGACGCCGAGGAGCTCGTAGTAACAAGTTCGCATATTAATGGTTAAATAAAGACGATATTTTAGAGTAAATTTAAATTTGCTACGTACATGTGACCGATCAGATCATGAGTGTCACAAGCCATCCCGCAACAGTATTTATCGTGGCTGAAAAACTTCAGATACTCGTTAATTGCTTTAAATCTGAGCATTTCATCCCATGCCATCATTTATTACCATTGAAACGTGATGGATATGTTATCTCCATGTTTAAACTAGATCATATACTGCAATGTGATTATGTTGAAATGTGTTATTGTTCAATCATGAGAACGTTCTAGAGCCAAAACGTTCACTTTCAATGCTTGTTTTAATTGTTTTTGGGTTCTTTTCTTGAATTAATAATTTTTTTTAATTATGAAATATGGACCTGTAACATTTAAGAATCCTGGAAAATAGAGTAAAAATAAACCAGAGCTGTAATTGATTATACAGTTATTCTGACTTTGACATGCTTTTTGTAGAAGCTAAACAAGAAAAAGAAATTTTCTTGTTCTTTCTGATTACGAGGCCAAGGAGTCAAGCAGGTATCGGTTTAGATAAAATTTAAATACTTGAAAAAGGCTGCTGCCATGTCTTACTCTACTTTTTGTTTCAATAGAAGTAGACCATGATAATACTGTAGTATTCAACATGACGCTATGTTCACTTTGTTCCAATAAAGCATTCAAATTGTAATTGATATAAATTACTGCCAGAACTAGAATTATGGCTGCATATTATTATTATATGTTAACCGCATTGTTGATTGACATCAAAAGTTTTGACACAACTTGAACCAACTTCACTCAAAAAAAGTCCTATACAATGAGACGGTCTTTTACACGCCACTAGCATAAATTTTCTTATGATAGATCATACACATTGCATCCTGCCAAGTTCTTTTAATTTAGTCCCAGGCAGTCAGGCCAGGACTATTTATATTATTTTAACTAATTTCGGATAATACTGTCTGCAATCATTATTATTCACTATACTATGGAAGGGAAAATACCAAATTAAGGTTAAGCATACGTCTCCTGTATATGTATAAAACCTTCAACATTCCTACGTGATCTCATAACCACGTCAGCAGTTACCACGCGACTGGCTTCTTTCTATGCCAGAATTGCCCATTAATCTCTATGTCTCTATCTTTAGTAAGAGCAAGATAAACTGGTGTCTCGGCTCCTTGATCTAAACAGAATGGTTTTAATTAATTTCGTGACTCGTTTTTAACCGTCAGGCGTTAAGAAGCAATAATGCGTACCAGCAGAAATAGAGGCATTTGGGCCACCTGTGTTAACAGAATAGAAAGGTAAGTATACAATATTAAGAATAATGTTTTACGTGATTGGATTGTGGCAGTGCCTACCCATATCAGTTCTGACCTGTAAATAGATTATTATTTGGCTTTATTAATATATCTATTCGGTTGGTTGGACGTAAAGCATTTATCAACAACTTACCCAACCAGGATCAACTACGTGCGTGTTGACCTTTATTCCCTCTTTATCCAGTCGTCTCGCCAGTACTTTCGTATATGCAATAACAGCAGCTTTGGATACATTGTAAGCAATGGATCCTTGATTATAAAATATATTAAACTAACGTTAACACTAATTGTATGTTTATGATTTATGGGTGTCAAGACAATAATCACGGCGTTATTCATGCCTGATGTCGGCCATCCTTCTTCAGCATATACACCAGCTCGAACATCATCTTGAAACTTATTCACAAGCCTATCTAACTGTTCTTTGGTCAAATCCTGACTTGAAAACTGGTTTCTCAATGATTCTGATGGAAGCACAGTAAGTCTCCCAAGCCCGCTAGAAAGATTAATTATTCTACCTCCAGGATTTTTTATTATTGGAAGAAACGATTCGGTCATCTGAAATGTGTAGTAAATGGTCTTTAGTAGTACTAATATGTTTGGCTCATAAAATGTCATTACCTTCTTTAGCCCAAAGTAATTAGTTTTAAGAGTCTTTTCAACAACTTCGTAGCTAAATGGTTCCCCTTGAAATTCGGTCCCTGAAAAGAGAAACGTGGGTCTGAGTTCTCGCTTGAAACGCTCATTCATTACCACTATGTGCTAATTCAATCCTCACCAAGAGCGGCGTTATTAATCAAGATATCCACTTCACCACACACATTCCGAATAGTTTCTTTAAAGTTTTTCACACTTGTACTGTCCGTAACATCTAATATACCGAATCTAATCTCTGCTGCTCCACCTTCGGCCTCCAGCACTTCCTTATTTTTTAGTTCACCGGTAACCTCAGCCAGTGCGGCCACGCCTTTAGAAACATCTCGGGAAGTAAGATAGATTACAAGCTTTGGTGTGGTTTGTGGATAGATCGATTTGGTATATTCGATAGCAAGATTGCGCACAATTGCTCTTCCTATGCCTTTGTTCTAAATAAAAACCGCTTGTATAATAAATGAAGATGCAACAATTCATTTCATCGTCCGAGAAAAGGCCATACATACAGCACCAGTTACAATTGCTGTAATGCTTGTCATTATTACAAATTATTCCAATAGCGGCGATTCCATGTTGACTGTTTTCGACGACAGACCATACCAACTTCAGTTACACAATATTTTCTTATAGTTAGTACAATGTACTGCTGTGAGTAAAATGGCGAGTGGTCTTATTAACCGATGCGGATATTATTGGGCTTTTTTACGTGCAGATAAATTTTATCTACTTGCCTCATTTGATCTATAATTGTCTGTATCGAATAATTTTGTTAAAACAGGATGGTGTATACGAAGTTAGAATAAATTCTGCCCAACATGTATGCGCTATTTAATAGAAGCTTTTTATTCGATGTCTATATTCTAGTTGAGCCTTTTCTGTATACTAAGCAAAAAAACAGAAGCGGAAAGCATGCAAGTTTTGTAAAACAATCAACTACCAACTAAATTTAGTTAGCTATTGAATAGACGAATAGTTATTACAACAAACATTAATTTAAAACACACATAATACACTTAAATTACATTATTACTGTTACGAGAGCCAAATTTGACCGGGGATGTTCTCAAATTTAGCTCTAAACATGTCTTGCTTACACACTCGCGTCAATTAAGGGTAGCTAAATTTGCAGGCGGTCTTTATACCTCGTATTATCAAGGTAGAAACTTACACTCAAATGTTCTGCTAAACTAACTAACTAACTAACTAACTAAATAAATAAATATACAGCATATATTGCACTAACAATCGAACTACTCTTTCCTCTCTGGTCTGATCCTGCTTAACCACAGCTAGATATTAATCTACCCGTAAGCTGGTTAATTTAGCCTTCTAGGCAATAGACACTTCCATTCAGCAACAATAATAGAACTATTATTAGAACAACAACAATAGTAATTTTTAGTCGAAGAATTATAAAACGGCGATAATTAAGAAATTCCTTATACAAGTCAACCTCGATAAGTCAGCCCAGGTGGGCTGGGCTATTTCGATCGACTTATCGAGAACACATGATCTAACCAAATATAATAAATTTAATTGTAAAAAAACTATCTAGAGTAGTTTGTTTCATTGCTCTTCCTTATTTGATTTTGTAAGTCTCTTATTTTTAATACTAAGGAACAATCTATGCTAAAGTCATTCTGTTGTTGTAAATAA